GCAGCTTCGGGGCAGGGGGCTCAGGGGCATTTCGAGCGGGTCTTTCAGCATATGGGAGGCAAACCCTTCACCACTCAGCCATATCCCTAGCCCCATCTCTCTCTCTGTGTGTGTGTGTGTGTGTGTGTGTGTGTGTGTGTTTTCTTTTTGTTGTTTGTTTTTTGAGACAGGGTCTCACTAGGTAGCCCTGATTGTCCTAGAACTCACTATGTAGACCAGGCTGGACTTGAACTCACAGAGATCCTCCTGCTGTAGCCTCCAAGTGCTGGGATAAATGTGTGTGCCACAGTGGCTGACTTGTGTTCTGTTTCAGGCAGAGTTTTATGTAGACCAGGTATTAGCCAAAGCTGCCCTTGAATTCCTTTTTCTCTTTCCTGTATTTCACTATATGTATGAATTTTGACTAGAAGATACTTCAGTACACACACACACACACACACACACACACACACACACACACACTTTTCAGATTTGGAGTTTGAACTCAATGATCTTTGTATTATCACCTCTCAAATGTGTACACTGTGGTGCTGGAGTTCAAACTTAGTGCTTTAAGCATGTTAGCAAGTACTCTACCAACTGAGCTATCTGCCTAGCTCAAGAACTTTTGTTATAATCAAGACCACTAACTTTTTGGGGGGAACTGGGGAGAAGATACGGTTTCACTATGTAACCAAGGCTGCCTCCAATTCTCCATTCTACCTATACCCCTGATTGTTGGATTAAAAGTGTGTGCCACCATACCACACTATGACAGCTAATAATTGTGAAGATATCTAGGAAGAATTATCTGCAGTGTTCTGAAATAAAGAGCAGCAAGAGTTGGTGGTTGTTTTTGTTTTGTTTTGTTATGTTATGCTGAGACTCGTTACCCAGGGTTTTGTACATACTAGGCAAGACTCTGCCACCGAGCTGTCCTTGGTCCTATTGAGAGATTTTTGCTCTCAAATTCCTGTGGGGAAGACCTGAAGTTTCTAACTCCTTTCTTTCTGCATGTCTATTTACACCACCATGTGTGCAGTATCTATGGAGGCCAAAGAGGGCACTGGATCCCCTGGAACTGGAATTAGACAATTGTGGGCCACTATGTGGGTGCTGGGACTTGAACTCTGGTCAATAAATGCTCTTAACTTCTGAGCCATCTCTGCAGCCCCATTATTTAAAAATCATGTTATTAAGGCCAGGTCTGGTGGAATGTGTCTTCAAACCCAGCACTCAGGAGGCAGAGGCAGGTGGATCTCTGTGAGTCTGAGGCCAGCCTGGGCTTCCTATCATGTAGACATGTACTAGAGACTTGAGGATTATTAAAAGCAGTATCTCACTGTTATTGTTACATGGTTATGGTACATCTGTGGAGACAGGACAACAAGAGTTGATTCTCTCTACCATGGGTCCCTGGGATCACACCTTTGCCTGCTGAATGAACCACCTTGAGAGTCAAACACTAATACTTCTAAAAAAATTCTTTTTCATATTTGACAGTTTCATAATTTGCATAATGAATTTTAGTCATTTTCATATGTTCCCCCCAAACTAATACTTTTTATGGCTTCATAAAGACATCAGTTAAACTTGCCATTACCCTTGCATTGTAATTTCGAGTATGAACACAGTGAAAATAGGCATGGTGGCTGCTTGTGCAGTCTCAGCATTCTAGAGGCCACAGGGAGGTAGGTCCAAGGCCGGCCTGGAATAGAGTGAGATGCTGCCACAAGATGGTCATACACCACATAAATGTGTCTTGGTCAGTGACAAGCCACATATAAAAAGATGGTCCCATAGTATCCCATTATATCCGCTAGAGGCCGGCTTCGTCGCCCATGCCTTTAATCCCAGCACTCTGGAGGCCAGCCTAGACTAAGGGAGTTCCAGGCCAACCCAGGCTACTCTATTGAGATCCTCACTGAAAGAAAAGTAAACAAACCAATTACCAGAGACATTGTGGCC